GAAGGCCCAAAGCCCAATAAGGCTAATTTAGTAGCCTAGAATGGGTCGTTCCCGAACTGGAACGGGCCGTTCCTAACAAATAAAAATGCCTAAAAACCCTAGCTTGGAACGAGCCATTCCAACACATTTTGTTATGAGTAAAATTTGAACACAGAACGGGTCGTTCCACTTTTGGAACGGGCCGTTCCGCATCTTGGAACAGGTTGTTTCACTTTTGGAACGGGTCGTTCCAAAGTCAAATTTTTACCCACAACAGTCAGAACCAGAACGGGCCGTTCCAAATTCAGAACGGGCCGTTCTGGTCAATTTTGAAGCCTATAAATTGGTGCGTTCGGCACAGTTCTCAAGGCGGCTAGGAAATTTCGGATAAGACTCCTTTGAGCACGAAAATTCTTTATCTCTCTCCCTCTTATTGTATTTCTTTCTTGAGATTGGGGAGGCATATTATAGTGTGAAAGGTTGCCACAAAGCACCTATTTGAAGATTCATTAGAGCTCGTTCAAGAGGTATTTCAGTCAATCTTTTTCTCTCCCTTTTATTTCTTAATTTTTATGAGTATTGTTATAATAAAAGCAACCATGTAGATATTTTAGAGTCAATTGTGTAATTTAAGTTTCAAGCATGTAAATAGTCATCATTAAAATGGGATTTAATATTTATATTATTATTGTTTATAATGCTAACTTCATCATAGGATACCGATTAAGGGCGTTGTAGGGGTGCTTAATACCTTCCTTACACGTAATCGACCCCTGAACCCAATTTTGGTTATCAAGGCCATTATTAGACTTTTAAAAACATTTTCTTTTTCCAATATTTTGAGTAAAACATTGGTGGCGACTCCATGAACCTAGTTTTCAAAATTATTAATTAAGAATTAGTTTGGTGTCTGGGCATTCCTTAATTGATGAGATTTTCAAAGGATGTCTAAACCATTAGTCGCGAGATCAAAAATTTTCGGGTTGCGACAGAGGCCAATCCCGCTACCCAACATACATTCCCACACCTAGAGCGAGGTTTCTCACTATACCTTTACCTCAATAAGTAGGAGATGAAACTAAAGCAAGATCTTGCTGGTCTCTTCCTTTGGGTTCTCCTTGATCTTTAGAGAGTGTAGAAGAAAAATAAGTCAGAAGTGAAAAATATGCTTTTGGGAGTGCTAGAGCATGCTATTTATAGACGTCAAGAGTGGCAAAAATGGTCTGTTTCGAATCCAGAATGGCCCGTTCTGGATTCATTCATCATGTGTTAAATTCATATCTGGAATGGACCATTCTTAAAACAGAACAATTCGTTCCCAACTAGGATTATAGGTCATTTTAGTAGTTTGGAACGACCTGTTCCAGTTTGGGAACGGCCCGTTCTAGGCTACTAAATATCAAAAAAAAAATTAAAATACCTTCATATAATTTGTGAAAAACGGGGTGTTACAACGTGTGGCTTGGAGATAAGTTGACTAGGATCACAAGAAGAGATCAAGTTGTTGTCGCCAAGGGATTTTGGGTCCTACAACCATGTGTGTGCTTGCTCTTAAGGACTTCCTTGGCACCCATGAATTTCTTCTACTTGATGAAGGTCAAGTTCATGCCATAAAAAATCTTATTTTAAGTAGTCACACATTACCATATATACATTTAAAATTGAACTTGTTAGACCTTTCAATATGAAAATTGCTTTTGTTATTCCTTTGTTTTTCATTAGTGTAAAACTTTGTTTTTTGTTTTTCAAAAATAAATTAAGATTCTACAAGTGAGTCTGTCTCTAAATTGGAAGAGGATGTCTTCACCATTAAATTTTAGTGAGTTATGTTATACATGATACACATATTTTTTCTCAAACTCTCTTTAAAGGAGTCTTATCCAAATTTTATCACATGACAAAAATGTCTAATATATATTTATATTTCAGGAACATAGCAGATGTTAGAGAAACCATAGAAAATTGGAGAAGGAAAATTGCTCTCTCTAGAAAAATTTGAGAACCACATCTGACAACCCCGATTATGCTAAGGTTTACCTATATTTTTCTATAAGTGTTACTATGACTTGTTTGAATGAATAATTACATCTTTCTCTACCATTCAATAGTTGATCAATTACTATGTCAATGAAAATTACACACTGAGATACACGGAGGAATGGTGCCAAATGTCAACCAGGTTTTTTTCTTAACACAATAATACATGACATTTTAATACAGTTTAATCTTTTATATTATTTCAGAAATATGCATGTTCCATGAAGTTGACTATCAACCTAGTAAAGTAATATATATGCTTTCAAAATGTTATATAGATTATTGTAAAAGAAAAAAGGATCTTTACAAACGTGGCATCAGCATCGACCAAAGCCAAACTAAGATTGTTGTTTGAGGTAGCTCTTTTGGGATCATTGATTGAAAAAGTTGGAAGTTACAACAATGATGGTCATCAATCTGTGTTGGACAAAGTCATCAATAACATTGATGAGAGAACTCAAGTTGTTTATGAATCCAAGAATGAGATCATTGTGTTTGAAGAAACCTTGTACGATAAATCTACTCAACAATGGTTTAGCTATTGGAGTGACTACTTAAACTATATGAGCTCTATTTTAATTATGTGACACTATTTGTAATCATATTTTGTTTAATTAGTGGAGTAGGAGTTATTTTTATGAAATGTATTTTATTACTAATAATTATATTTAAGTTATCTTATAAAAGGGAGAAGATGTTTAATATTATTATTATTATTATTATTATTATTATTATTTTATGGAAGGGAAGGAAGGACGTAATAGTCTTTTGCAAATTATTATTATCATTTTATTAATTTGAGAAAAGGGAGGTTATTACATGTTATCTAAGTCATTCCACGCAATCACTTCTTCCCGACTCATTTTGTTTGTACGCTTCTGAAGACCAAGGAGAACCTGAAGGAGAGAACCAACTTGATTCCGCTCGTGCTTCAACTTCTGCTCATCAAGGTAATGGGGGAGTGAGAAATATCGCTCAGGGGTGTGGGAATAATTGTTGGGTAGCAAGATTGACCTCCAATCCCTTGCTTGATGCATACTTCTAGGAACAGGCAATATGAATGTATGAGTTTCCTGTTGTGTTCCTTGTTGGATGTGATGCATGAATATGTGTTTAATTTTGAAATTAGATAAGTTTTTATATGAATTAGAGTGCTCTGTGGGTTCTCATGAGAAACCCTATGAGAAACAATTAGAAGTATGACCTTTTGACAAGATTTAAGGTATTTTATGTAAAATTGTATGGATTTATGTTCTAGGTGTTATTTGGAGGATTTTTACCAATTAATTTATATGATTACATGTTTTTTGTGAAAAATTATCTGATTTCAAAGTGTAGGTTCGCACTAAGTGCGTCGGGCGTAGTTCTTTGCGTTGGACGCAAATTCATAGTTTCCTAAGAAAGGTTGAGCCGGGCTTAGGAAAATTGAGCCAGGCTCAGGAAAGTTGTGCCGGGCGCAAGAAAATTGAGTCGGGCTCAAGAAAGTTGCGTCGAGTGCAGGAAAGCCACGCTAGGTGGGATTCTCCACTTTAGGTGCGATATTAAATTCGCCAGGCGTGCTCAAGGCATGCCTGGTGTGATGCTCCGCTTTTGGTGCGGCATTTATGCCCCGGTCGCGAGTTGGGGAACGCTGGGCTTGATCCATATGATGTTTCATATGTTTTATGTCTTGTTTGAAGGTGCAAATTGTGTGGGAATTACCTTATTACTGTGTTAACGTAAGTGATGTGTTTTAAAAGTATGATAATGGCAATAATCTCCAAATGATGATCTTATGAGCATGATTATGAGAAATGTGAAATGTGAACAAGTGACATGAGACATGATGTGAATTACATGCTATTTTGAATACTATGACTATGAGAACGTGAAACGTGATTAAATGAGAAAAGACATGAAGTTCCATGACAAGTAAAGTGATGAGTCCATGAAGTGTGAATGTGTGTGACATACATCATGTGCATCTATGTGACAGGTATGATATGGAATACATCATTAGAGAAGGCCCTCCTTGTGTAACAGCTTGGGGGAGTCCTAGGGGATAGTGAGGTTTGGATGTCTTGATTCCGCCCATTTGTGAGCACGAGACATAACTTATGCAGCTTCGCTATCCCGACCAGACCCTAGCAGTACATCCTTCTAGTTGAGAGTGTATGGGTATCTCCCTACATGTACTCCTAGACTACCTTAGTTGTCTTGTTTAGGCAGCACACCAGTGATATGTGATATGTGATTGGCGCCACATGCATGCATTTATGAGTCGAGTCCATGACATCATTGCATGATCAATGACTGTGCATGTGATACTGATTGTGTATGTGTATTGTTTGCATGTGATTTATGCTTGTGACTTCTATTATGATTTTGTTGTGTGTGTGTGTGTGTTGTCTAATCGTTATTTCTGCACCTGAACCTGAGTGAGATGTTTCTCACTCCCTTGTTGCTCTATGTGTATTTTATTGTGTTGCAGGTGATCATCAACATGAGGATGTTGGTGATGAGGCTTAGGCTTCAAGAGGGCGTGCTCTGATAGGATATGTGACATCGGGACGTAGCTAGACTTAGTTTAGGATTTCATTATTGTTATTTTATTTTGGAAAAACTCATGTTTCATTTTCTTATAAATTTCGCATTTGACCATGATTTAAGTTTATGAATGTGAATTCTCTACTCTTATGTTAGTGGAACCATTGTTTTAATTCTAAAGATGTTATTTAACCTAAGAAAATATTTTTATAATTATAATATATGTATGTTGGGGTAGAAGGTGTCACAATTCTAATTACAATTGAATTAGAAATCAATCAGGTATGTAAAATTTAAAAGAAAGTAAATCTTAAGAATAAAATTGACTAAGCAATATTTATATGATCAAATGGTTTATTAATTTGTCATATATTTATAACAATGCATAATTGACAAACCACGTTGTATATATACAAGTTAAGATACTAATAAGTTGTCATAATGGTCTTAGGTGCAGGAAAAAAAAACTAATTAATTATTTTATCGATTGGAAGACGACTTTCCGTATAAATTACAATCTGTGAAAGACTGTCGACCTCTTTAACATCAAGCTCCTCAATCATGTGGGTATTTAAATCATACCTGACTAGTTCGTCATCTTTACTTCGGAAAAAAATATCCCCCTTCTTCCCAGCTCCGATAGAATGTCGAATGTCAAGCAAGGGCTCAACAATGAAAAGTTTAGTCCATGATTCCTTCACACCGACTTCACCCAAAATTGATATGTAAAAAGTGGAGGAATACATATAATGCGAGATCAAAGCAACAGATACATTTAACAACACCAAAGTAACATCATATTCATAACGTATCCTGTCCGATGGTATTTCTAAGGGTATAGGTGTTTTAAAGAATACCTCGTTGCTTAAGTCAAATGACACCAAGTAATCATCACCTTGCCAATGACACATTCCATCCAAATACAAATAGTCAACCCTATCACTGAGGGGTACTTCCACATCAATCTCAAGATTCTTCCAAGAGTTACTTCTCAGGCTATATATCTCCCATAAGGGGTCACGATGTTCATTTTCACGATTCCAGTTATCATTGTCGTCAAATAGAAGAAATTGTACATGACTAATCACCTTATAGTCATCTATATCACAGGCATAGCCATATCCACATGGATCAGCTGAATAAACTAAATTAGATGGTACAAACTTATTTAGGCTAGGAGGAATGATCTTCAATTCTTCAGTAGTTGGGTTCCACAGTCCAATTGTGGAATATTGGTTGTTAACGCAAAGAATTCCATTAATACTAGCATGACCCAAAATATGTATATGGGAATTCGCTAGATTTTGCTCTTGAAATAGATTTGGCCAGTCTAATTTGACCCTATTCTGAAATCTCTCACCAGAAAGCAAAAATAAGTTCTCATGATGAGTTTGAGTGATATAAGTGTTCAAAGATTGACATAGGAGAAGAACTGTATCATCATAGTAAGAACAATGATTAGATAAGAAATTGTTGCGAAAGATTGTCATGAAATGAGGATTTTCAAGTAAGGAGACCCATGATTTACAAACACAACCAAATCTCTTGATAGATTTTAAAGGCAATTTCCCCATAACAAAGAATGTTAGATCATCATGTATACGGTTCCTAAACAGTTCACTTACGATATCCACAAATTTTTCTTTCTCAATCCAAAGGTAAATGGGATAACTGATGAATTGAAAGTGTTTCTTGACAAGGTCCTTGATCCTCGTCTCTTCTAAGTACTCCAACTATTGACAAAAATGAAGGAATTAGTGAATTGCATCAAAAGAAATAAGTTTTATGAATAATTTGTGTACCTTACCTGGTCCTCCTTAAGAAAGAGGGTGATTTTGGTTCCCCTCCTGAGTTGTTGGCCACTAGAGTCCTTGGTAACAATGAATGAGGCACAACCCTGAGATTCCCAAGTGTATTGGTCATGGTGGTTATGCTTGGTGGTGACCATGACCTTGTCAGCAACCAAGAAAGCGGAGTAGAAACCAACACCTAATTGACTAGACCTTCCCAAATTGTGAATCAAATCTAAAATAATACACACAACACACCTATAAGCATGAAATGCACACACACATATAAAATGAAAATGCAGCACATTACCTGTTTTGGTCATGCCAATACCATTATCAATAATGGAAAGTGTTTTATTAACCTTATGAGGGACCAATCTAATGAATTGAGCTTCTAACTCAGTTTGCCTCTCATATCGAATTTTTTCCAAAGCCTAGAAAAGAAACACAAATGAAATTGAAATTTGTAATCTTTACAAAACTAAACTTGAAGGACTACTTACCTTGAAAGCATTGTTGATAAGTTCACAAAAGAAGGTTTCTTTGTTTAAATGGAAAGTGTTGTTTATAGGGCTCGGCGTCTCAACCTTGAATTCGAATATCTCACTTTCACCATCACCCATTGTAATTGCAAATAGAACAAAAAAAATCAAAATTTTATGTTATATTCTCAAAACAAGATTATTTTTCTCATAATTCTTGTATCCTCACCAACTTATATTCACGCAAATGGATGAATTTTAAAATGGAATACATTAAATACATTAAATACCAGATACGCAAATGGACGAACTTTTAAATGAAATACATTAAATACTATATATGGTATTAATTATTTTCTTAATTAGTTATTTAAATCAAATCATCTTATTCCCAGGGGTGAGTAAAATATCCTTTGGATTATAAAATTAAATATGTGTTTAAATTTTCATATATTTAGGGGGTGTATTGGATTAGGATTTTATAGGACTTTTTTAGTTGAAAAAAGTCATGCGAATTTTAAAAGACTTTGCAAGATTTTCATAATTTTTAAGTCTTTGTAGGATTCTGCAAGATTTTAATGGATTTTGCAAAACTTTTAAATAGAGATTTTAATCGATTCTGCAGGATTTTGTGGACTTTACAAAATTTTGTAAATTTTTAACATACGACAAGAGTTCAAGATTTTTTTTCACACATTCAAATTTAAAAAGAGTTAAAGACATACATATTTATATGTATATTAGAATTGTAGTTATATATTATATATGATATTTTTTATATAATTAAAATTTAACAAATATTTTTAATATTTAAATTATATTATAATTAAAATTCATAATAAATGGACATATTTAAATATATGAACTAAAATATGAATTTATAATCAATAATTATTGATATAAAATAATTTTAAATGTTAATAATTTTTCAAAAACAAATTATCAAAATTAAATTAAAAAGATATAATTAAAATATAATAGATTGAAAGGTTAGATAATTAAAATTTTATATATTCACATAAAAATGAAATGAATGTAATTTAACATAATTGAGAGAGTTTTTTATATTACAAAAATAATGTGTAAAATTAATATTAAAAACGATAAATAATATAAAAAAATTGAATTAAAAATAAAAAAAAAACAACTATAATAAGTTAATGGAGGCATAAAATATTTATAATGTAAATTATTTTAAACAATATTTTAAAATATTTTATTTATAAATTTATAATTATTGAGTCATAAAAGTAAGAGGGATAAGCACAACAAACTCAAGGGAGGGAGAGAACGTAATTTTTGTGCTAAGAGGGTTCTTCCCTCAATTAAGATTTATTCTCATCTCATTTTACTCACAGAAATACTAATTCCAATTCATGTTATATATATATATATATATATATATATACTTGTTTTAATAAATCTAAATCCATTACAAAGTCTTGAAAATCTACCGATGATTGTAAAGATCATTATATCAATTTTAGCTTTCACCTTTTCTTTTTGTTGAGCAAAATAGAGCAAGTTAATTGACTTCTATATCCCCATAGAAAAAGTATTAAGAGTTATTGTTAATACATGAATACATTTTGCTATTATTAATAGTTAGTTTGTTCATTTGTATTCACTTCTATATCCCCTTCTACATAGAGAAAATTATTAAGAGTTATTGTTAATACATGAATACATTTTGCTATTATTAATAGTTAGTTTGCTCATTTGTATTCTCTAGTATTTTATTGTTCAAATAGTCAACTACTATGTTTTTACTTTAGAATAATAATAATAATAATAATAATAATAATAATAATAATAGAAATAAAAATAATAATAGTAATAGTAATAATAATAATAATAATAATAATAATAATGTTAATAATAATAATTATAATGATAATAATGTTAAAAATAAAATAAAATAATAATAATAATAATAACTTTTAAGTTTTAACATATCAAAAGTGAAATTAACGGTGAGATTTATGCAATCGCATTTGCGATCGTAGATAATGCAGATCACAAATGCATTTTTTAATTTGACAAATTTATAAAATATACTAAAGTGGGTTGGATTTCCATCTTTGTAATGTTTCCTATATTTACAAAAATAAAAAAAATAAAAAAAAAGTGGGTTCAATTTATGAAAGAAAAAACTCTTTATTACTTTAAATTCGTCTTGATTTCTCATTATTAAAAGTGAATTTATTTTATGGTCAAATTTTTAAAATTTAAATTCAATTTGACTTAAATGAACTTTCTTCACCATGATTCGCCTTCCATCATAAAGCTAGGCATACATTAGATGTTTGGCCAAACAAATTAATATTTTTAAAGTATAGTATCAAAATTCTAATTATATGAAGATATATAAGATTAAAAATATATTACTAGAATTTCTCTTATTATATGTGACTTTTTTTGCGAATTTTTCATAAAAATTTACAGGAAATGTTGTTCTTACAAATTTTTCTATGAAATTTTATCTGCAGTTAATACTGTCGTGTATAATATAATTTTGTGAATTTAAAATTCGCAAGAATTTTTCCTGCTAAATTTCTTGCGAAAAAAATTTACAGGAAAGTTTCTTGCAAAAATAAATTTGCAAGAAAGTTTCCTGCGAATTTTTTCCCAAGAAATTCTACAGAAATATTTTTTACAAAAAAAAATTAAAGAAATTACTATAAATTCAATGAATAATTTTTCAACTTTCAAATGCTCACATTGAATTCATCTGAATCATTTGTTTCCACGCCTTCAACATGTGATACATAATTTTTTAAATTCTAAGATTATAGATTACAAGTCTAACACTCAACCATACAAATCAACTTGTAAGGTAAGCGTTGTCCTACCTTATATACTCTTTAATTGTTTTATTTTCAATCGACGTGGGACTTGAAGTTCTTTTTTTTTAAATATTAAACTTATAAATTTAAATATTTTTTTAATTTTTCATGCAGATTAAAATTGGTAAGAAAATTCGCAGGAAAAGTTACTTACAAAATTTTTCTACCATTTAGTAAATATTACTTGTGAATTTATTTTTGCAAGAAAATCTGCAAGAAATAAAATAAAATTCTTACAGTATTTTCTACAAATTTTTACCATGGAAAAAATTTTCTATGATCATTAAAATTGTAGCAAAATTTGCAAAAATTTCTTGTAGATTATTTTTCATAAAAAAAAAATTGCAAGAAATTTCTGTAAATTATTTTTCACAAATAAATTCATAAAAAAAATTTGTGAAATTATTATTGCAAGAAAATTTGCAAAAAAATATTTGCGAATATTTTTTTGTAAGAAAATTCGCAGAAAAGTGACACGTTTCTAATAGTATATTAGATTTTATTTAAATTTCACGATAAAGATAATACCTATATTAATTTGATCAGATTTCATATTTGCAATATACTTATTTTAAAAAAGAAAAGTAAGACATGTATACTCCAACCTCAATATGGCATTATTTTCAATTATAAAAAGGCTCATCTTGTAATTTATTTCATGTTAAGTTTTTATTTTCATTTCTTTCATTCTAATATTTTCTAGTGGTTAAATAAATGATACCCCATTTCTATATTTATATATAAAGTAATTCATGATCTTTAATTAATTGATGTGATTTGAGATCAAGAACTTATGAGTTTTTATAAGTTTTCTTTTAAAATTATTTATATATTTTTTTGGGAAAAGAGTAATCAACCATCATAAATTTTATTATTTATAAATAGATATCATAAATTTTTTATTTTATTTTAGTCAATCCTTAAATTTTATATAATTTATAAATAAAAATTATGAACTTTAATTTTATTTTAATTAATCGTTAAATTTTATCTATTTTACAAATAAGTATTATTAACTTTAATTTCATTCTAAATAATATTGACATTGATAATTTAATATTTTTACAAATATTTTTTTATTACCAATTTAAAGTAAAATTATTTATCTTAAATGTCAATTATTCACTAATTTTTTTTCTTCATTTTTTCAAATATAATAAAATATGCATTTAGAAAAAAAAGGAATGATAAAAAAAATAAAAAAATAGACTTTATTTGATTTTTCTTCTTCTTCTAAATGATACGATATTTTAGTAAATATGAAAATAAAATTAAAATATATGTACCAAAAAATTAACAAATGAAATATTTAGAATTAATTGAGACAAAGATTTAAAATAAGATATTTATTTGTAAAAATAATAAAGTTTGAAATTAATTTATACTAAAATATAATAAAACTTTATTCTAATTTTTAAACTTTCATAATGAGATGAAATTATAATGTGAAGTGATAAAAGGACCTAAAAAAGACATCGCTCTGGCAAAACAAAAAACTTATGAGAGGATAAATAATTTGATTTTGTTGACCGAATCACCATACGCTTTGATCGGAGGTTCTGCATTCACAATCCAACGATTTAATTTTTTTAAGTTTATGTTTTAATAACTTTTAACATATCAAAAGTGAAATTAACAGTGAGATTTATGCAGTAGCATTTGCAATTGCAGATAATGCAGATCACAAATATACTTTTTAATTTGACAAATTTATAAGGTATACTAAAGTGGGTTGGATTTATGAAAGAAAGAAAAAAAAACTCTTTATTAATTTAACTTCGTCTTGATTTCTCATTATTAAAAGTGAATTTATTTTTATGATCAAATTTTCAAAATTTAAATTCAATTTGACTTAAATGAACTTTCTTCACCATGATTCTCCTTCCATCATAAAGCTAGACTTACATTGGATGTGTGGTCAAACTAATTAATATTTTTAAAATATAGTAACCAAATTCTAATTATATGAAGATATATAAGATTAAAAATATTAGATTTTATTTGAATTTCAAGATAAAGATAATAACTATGAATTTGACCAGATTTCATATATGCAATATATTTATTTTAAAAAACAAAAGTAAGACATGTATACTCCAATCTGGCATTATTTTCAAATATAAAAAGACTCACCTTGTAATTTATTTCATGTTAAGTTTTTATTTTCGTTTCTCTCGTTCCTAGCTTCACTTCATTTCTTTTTTTTTTTTTTTTATAGTTTTAAGCTAAGTTTCACTAGTATAGAATGTGTATTCTATGTCTGTTATTTTAGGTTTTCTATGTT